AGTTCTAAGCTTCAGCTGAACCAGCATCGATAAAGAAGGGAAAGAGAAGAAGAAATCGACAGAAGCAGGGGAGGAGGAAGATCGCTAACTCACAGCAGCACCCAAAACAAGACAGGATAAAGGAGGAAAAGGAGAAATTGCAATCTGAAGCATATTGCATCAGTGGCTGAATAGGTGAGGAAGAGCAAACAGAAACCCAAGCACCCTCAGCTGCCGGCGATGACGCGTCGAAGGTACGAGGCTGAGGAGATCGCAAGACGGAGAAGGAAAAAGACGGGAGAGGCAGGGAATTTTTTTTTTTTTTTCCTGTTTGAAGTATCCAGATCATTCGAAGAAATGAGAAAGCGAAATAAAAATCTAATATCAAAGTTTTTTTTTTAAAAATAAAATAGACGGTAGTTTGGTAATTTTATGGAAGACTGAATTCGAACGAGGGATCTAATAGATAATTTATTAACACAGTTTCCATTAGACCAACTCCTCCTCATGCTAAAATTTGCTTTAAAAGGAATAAAAAATATAAAAATAATTTATTTAAATTTCTGGGTTATGACATTTAAATTTTCTAAAATTAAAATCAACAAATTTTTGTGAACTTTACCTTTTTAAGAAAGAGAGAGGAGAACATTTTATATTTTTAAAAAATAATAAATATAAAAATATTAAAGAAAGAAAAATTTCACTAAAATTTACCTAGCTCTGTTTTAAAGAATTTACATCCTAAATAATTGACAATCTTAAATTGGAAATTGAGAATCTTGATTCGCTTAATATATGCATAGCTAAATGGTTACCCTTCACCAACGGAAATTATAATTTTTCCAATTTTTTTATCATTGTTTCATTCCATTTCTCTTATTATAACCATTCATTAAATTTATGATTAAAATAAATTCATTAAATGTAATGATTTTTTATTATTTCTCTGCTGATTTGGCATGTGGAATGAATAGGAAAGGTTAAAAGAAAGTCAGCAAAACTGATTAGATTAACCCGTAACTGGTTGGTCCAAAAAAAAAAAAAAATCCGTAACTGTTACCGGATGAACAAACAAACATATTTTTTTAATAAGAAGAAAATAGGATGAGGTCATAACAATAAAAAAAATTAATAAGAAGAAAATAAAGAGTAAAAAAAATAAAAAAGGAAAAATGCATTTTAATCGGAAAAATAAGATAAATAAATATAATAAGATTTTGTTAATTTCGAAAGAAGTTTGAAGGGCAAAGTTCAAAATTATTAAGCAACATAGTGTGTGAACTTATTCTACTATTAGATAAATTTTTAACTATTAGTATTAATTTTGATTTTTGAGCAAATTAAGATATTTTACTTTCACGTCTAAATCATCCTGCTTAATCCCATTAACTTGTGTAATTCAACTACCTATTATAATACTTTTTTCAACATTAATAAAACGGATTCTTTTTTCTTGTTGGAAAAATTAATCCTCCAGTCCTTATAGTTTTACCAATTTTTGAATCAAGTCCTTGTAATTTTTTTCTTTTTCTTAGATCCTTATAGATTACACAGTCAAACGTTTAAAGTCCTTCTGTCCACGATTGGTTCTAAATCCGTTAGTCTATGGTGATTGAGGATGATGTGGTGCTGGATAAGCATTGACTAATCACACACTTGGACAAATTCTTCCACGTAGACACGTGACTGGACATATATTGCATAGACTAAACATACCCAACACATTTCCTCTAGACACACGAACAACCGAAAGAAAGCTTGGTGAAGAAGAGAGTTGCTTCCTGGAAGAGAAGGGAGATAGCCGAAAAATAAATACATTTCATTCGGTGTTACCAGTTGATTTGTCAAACACGTAAGATGTCGAAAGAATTTTGGAAAAACATCGATAAGTTTGAACCACAAATCAAAGCAGCTGATAAAATTGAAGTATTACATAAACCAGACGACATTGGAGAAATAAAAATGATAAAACATTCTGCAAAAAAAAAAAAAAAAAACTGTAAACCGAACCTAATAAATTAATTTTCTTGTCTTTGCTATTGTTCCAGTACTTAGAACAAGTAGAAAACAAATATATGCAGATCTGTTGCTAAAGTCTCCAAGAACGTGGTCCTCTTTGTTGCTACCAAGAGTCATGAGGAATATCTAGGGAGGGGATCGAGTAAGATTTAGATTGAATAAGGGAAACTCGTGGTTTGTGGAAGAAGCAAAGGGGAGAGAAAGAGAAGAGAATCGATTATTGACTTGTGCTGTAAAACTGGGTATAAGAATAGAAATCCAATATTAATCAACGAAAGCAACGATATCTCCTTTGAGTTAATTGATGGCGAGAACAGTGGCCAATCCCCAGAGCAATTGAAGGTCACGGTTCTCTGATATTGGCTTCTTTGATTTCCTCTCATGGGGTCTGGGAAGGAAGTAAGAGAGTAGAGAAAGATGGAACAAGGGAGGGTGGAGAGATGAGAGATGCTAGGCTGGGGCAATCTCTATCTAGTCATGTATCCACGTGGACAAATTTATCGAGGTGTGCGCTTAATCAGTGCTTATTCATCACCACGTCATCCTTAGTTACCATAGACTAACAAATTTAGAAGCAATCATAGACAGAAGGACTTAAACCTGTACCTGTACAAATTATAAGGATCCAATAAAAAGAAAAAAATTACAAGGACCTGCTTCAAAAATTGGTAAAATTATAAGGAGCGGAAACTAATTTTCCCTTTTTTCCCCCTTAACTACCTGTTGAAAGTCGACTGGATGAGGTCATCCATGCAAACAACTTTACAAGGCGACACAAGAAGATCTTCTGTGAAATTCTTTGGTTTTGTTGTTTGTGAATGTCTTCCCCATATATAATGAATATTACAAGATTACAATAGGTACTTTGTCATGGAATAGAATAAAATTATAAAGTTATAAAGTTATTTTGTAAATAATAAAAAATGAAGCTAGGCCAAGCCTAGAATTTGTCTTTGAATCATAATTTTTCTAATAATATTATGAGCAAAGTTCAAAAGAGATGAGTGTAATTTATTTTATTTTAGAAAAATTTGTGTAAATTTAATTTAGTTTTCAGATGAACCGTAAATGACAAATTGTTTGTTGCTAAATGAAATGGCATTTTTTGAGAAACATTTGCAGTGAGTAGATTGAATATTTTGATAGAGTGTTTTTTTTTTTTACAACATAAAATTTAAGTGACTTGAGTTCCAAAACTCATTACAACTAATTGAATTATGAATTCTCATATTGGCAACAAGATTTAAAACTCACAAACTTGTGAATTAAATCTTTATTAATTAGTTTAACATTTGTTGCTATACTTGAGAGAGGCTTTCTCTCTTTTTCCTCATTCAATTTTATTTCATTTAACGGTATTTTTTGGTATCATTATTTTATTTGCAAATTATAAATTTATAATCAAGTGCAAATAATAACAAAATAAGAAAAAGAGACATGGAGGGCCAGATATAGAAGCCCCCAGTAAAGCTCAAGAAAGTGTCTATTGTGATGAATGGGCTTAATATTACTCAAAAGTTGGGCCCTAAGAAAGGGACCAACGGGCCATCTACTATTGTAAGGGACTTGATCTTGGGCTTCAATAACACCACCCCTTCCATAGACCATATCAATCCCCTGCCTTATAATATCTAAATTAAAAATAACTGATTAATCTCTGTTAGAACAGATATTTATATTTAACATTTGATGGTACTTTTAATAATTTTTTGAGTGAAGGCATGGTACAACAACAACAGAACTTTATTTTACTTATAATTTTTTTTCCCAAAGACATCAAAAGATTTAATATTCAGAATCTAAAACATGTCTTCTTGTCATAGTTTTTTATTATATAAAATAAAATAAAAGATGTATTTCAAACAAGATTATTTCAAATAGTATAATAAAAAAAATAAAATAGAAGATGTGTAACGATGTAAAAATTTTACATTATTATATTATTACCAAAAATATTATATTATTATGAACAAGGTCAGCTTCAAAGCACAAAATTTTTTAAAAAATAATTTCAAAACCTAAACGAGAATTTTTTAGAGAAGAAAATAACAATATTTTTATTTCTCAAATTAGTAAACATACATAGTTATTTTTGTAAAAAGCCAATTTGATGATTTTATATAAACTTGGTTGTAGGCCACATGCTCTGCAATTTGCATTGGGGGGGGGGGGGGCAGAGCATCAAAGGTAGGGGAGGGAGAATTTCAAATTGAATAAATAATAATATAACTAAATTTTATACCCGTACCATTCACAGAAACATTGAATTGGAATGAAAAAGATCAGAGATTTTTAAAAAAAAGTTGTATGATTCTAAGAAAAACTATATACAAAATCACATTTTGTTATATATTTTAATATGTCATTGTATATTGATGTATTTTATCAAAAGATTCGAATACACACCAATTTATGGGGAAAAAATCAATTAACATATATCTTTAAAAAAAACCATGTGTCATCATAAACTTTCAAGTTATTTGCTTTTGTTTATTAAAAACAGACGTTTCCACTTTATTTACGGACACATACCTATTAAGGGTATAAACTGCACGCAGAAAATGAAACTATATGTCACATAATTTCAAATCAAGTAAACAAAATAAAATTAAGCTAGCTAGGCCACAAAACTAGTGATAGCGAGTAACACCACTCCATCGTGTATTCGTGTCTTGCAAAGTTCAATCCAAGACTTGAAGAGACTTACTGAAGCATGCACAACAACAACAACAACCTGTGTAATGCATAAATATAAACATAAGAACAAATAAATATGTTTAATAGATTTCAAAGAAGAGGGAAAAAAGCTTAGTTTGAAGAAATCAAAATGAGAAGCTCTTTTGACTTACCACAAAGTGGCAATAACATCAAATTTCAACCGAAGCAATTCATCGTGAGGACCACCATGACATAGAGTTTGTCTCTTATACGGAATAGGAATTTGAAGTAAGAATTCTTGAAACTCCTAATGCCAAAAATGGCAATACAAACTCCCCAAAAGGCCACCGAAAATCCAACTCCTAATGCAATGTAGAAGGAAGATAGGAATTCATCTTCTTGGTCGGTGTCATTTTTTCAATGGGTTTCGCTTCTTTTTTGTCAGAACAATTCTTTGGAAGTGGAGCACCACAAAGTTCAGGATTGCCAATATAGCTTAGTTCATCAAACCCTTGAAGTTGAGTCCCTAATGGGATCGTTCTGGAGAAATTGTTGAAAGACAGGTTCAAAGTTCCCAGAAAAGACAATTGAGCCAAACTTCGAGGAATTTCACCTGAAAATTTATCGTTTGCAAGATCAAGAGATTAGTTCAACTTGCCAATCTCTTTTGACAAACTTTCCCTAAATTGATTATGGGACAAGTTCAAATAATGCAATTCAGACAGACTAAAAACTTCTCGAGGTATTATTCCAGACATGTCATTACTTGATAGATCAATAGCATGCATGAACTTCACATTTTCATCACAGATCAGTTCAAGTCCTTTTATATGCAACCAAACATTGTCACCATTTATAGAATTGGAACAAAATATTTTACCGCAAAAGGTGGTAACCACATTACTTGAAGAAGCTTGTCTTATGGCTATCATGTTATGTAGGCAACTAGGTATTGAACCTGAGATTTTGTTATATGCGAGATCCAATATTATGATAGATTCTAATTGGCATATTTCTTGTGGGATATTTCCACTGGACTGATTGGCTCTAAATTGAAGAATCTTTGCATTGTGCCCTACCACTTTGGTATGGATCCTGAAAATTTATTTCCTCTAACATCAAAGATCTGTAGGTTCTGGCAATTCTTCAGTGGCAATGGTATCTCTCCAAACAGGTTATTATTATTGACATGTAAGATCTTAAGATTAGCCAAGAAACTGATTGATGGTGGAATTGTACCTGAAAGATTATTGTCACCAAGCCTAATAATAACCAAAGCTTTCAAATACATCCAGCAATTTGTAAGCCCTCCAGATAAGAGATTATTAGACATGTCTAGGTACCTTAATTTGCTTCTGCCATTCATCTTTTGACACAATAATGAAGAAATAGATCCTTGATAGGAGTTATTTCTTACACTGAATGTGAGAACATTTGGTGCTAAATGAGGGAGGTTGCCTTTAAATTTATTATAACTCAAACTTACGAATGTAGAGTTCAGTAACACACCAGATATGTCCCAATCAATTGTATTATTTTGTAAACAGAAGCATCTGAACTGTGTTGCAAAATTCCAAAAGTGATCTTGAGGTCGAAATGAAATACTTGAGGAGACAATTATTAACACTCTTAAGAGATTTTTGTGTATATATCCATTCAGGAAATATGGAATCCACCATGTGTACCATATGTAAGTCTATGAGTTGAAAAGGAGGAACCCATGACAAATCAAAGTCAAAGATTAAGCCTGGAGATCCCATGCCAAGAACTTTCAAATTTGAGAGCCTGACAAAATTTCTTTTAGACACGTACCCCATCAAGTGATTATCATGAAAAGATAACATCTCCAAGTTCAAGAGCTGTCCAAGACTTTCTGAAAGACTACCATTTAAGTTATTTGAATTGAGATTCAAAGTAATCAAGGATGATAGATTTCCCAAAGCAAGTGGAATAGGGCCACAAATTAAATTGTCACTAATATCAAGAACTTGTAAACGTTCAAGTTGGCCTGACCAATCTAGAATTGATCCACTCAGGCTATTCCTTTGCAAATCCAAGCTTTCTAATTTTTGAAGATTCAACAATCTCTCTGGCAATTGGCCCTGAAAGTAATTATAGCTCAAGTTGACAGAGGTGATGGCATCACTAAGATTGAATAGCCAGTTTGGAAAGAATTCAGAGTTAAAAGCATTGCCAGAAAGGCTAAGAACTTCAAGTGAAGTAAAATTTACATGCTGGAGAGATGGATTCATGTTTCGAAGTTGGCAACTATCCAGGCGCAATTCTGAAAGGGAAGGAAGTGAAGTTGCTATTTGAAGCCAATCAACTTTCCCATGAAGATTAATGCCACTAAAGTTGATGTATTTCAAGGAGGAAAAATTATAAAGCCAATGAAGACTATCAATGAAAAGATCTTCATTATAAGATAAGTCGAGGTAATGAATATTAGAAGAATTTTGATCATACAAAGTAACATAATCATGTTGGATGATGGCTTGGAAGTCATGATTGCACAAATCAAGATAATTCAAAAACTCAAGTTGGAGCAGTACTGAGAGGTAGAAATCACCTGGAAGACAATGAGATTTCTTCTCCTCACAATCATAATCATAGGCTTCTAGAGAACAAGGAAGATCGAGTTTGATGACTCTACCTGTGTTGTTGTCACACTGAATTCCTACCCATTCACAACAGTCTCTTCCATCATCTGACCAACTAGAGAGGATGGATGATAGATCATCAACTGTGTGTTTGAAGTTTAGGAGGACATGGCGATCTCTTTCGTGGCACTGTATCCTCAAACTATGCATGCCTTCGTGGAACGTGATTGCAAATATTAGTACCAACAGGAGCAAATGATTAAAGATATGGGAGAGGAATGAGATATCCATGATAACTCAAGATATGGTTTGATACGAACTATGTAAAGGGATTGGCCGCCACCATTGAGTTAGCAAAAATTTGATTGCATATCTAATTAACACGGGGAGAATATTCTATGAAGTTGAATGCTTATGTTTATGACGTAAACCATGACACAAGTGGTGTGGAATTGGTTTGCAGTGGGACCTTTGGTGACGCATGACAAAGAATTTTTTGAAGAGTATCACTAATAAACATTGTGACATCAGTAGAATTTTCAAAGCAAATAGTTGATTTGTCACAAAATGTCGACAATTACACGACAGACGACAGCTTCCCATTCTTTAATAATTTTGAAGCTTTCGCTTCAATAATCTAACTGCGATTAATGTTAACTGAATTGCGTCTAAGGTTAATTATATTGCCAGGTTCTTCGAGACCACTGGTTCCCATTTGTTTTCATGACATTAAAAAATTAAGTGTTGAAAATATGAAAGATGAGTATGTTTGAAAAATTAATTCAGAGAAATTTTAATTCCAGTTAAGGATTCAAGATACTTAACTATAAATAATATTTTAAAATGGTGTTTAAATGTCATTCTATCATAAATTTTTCATCACGGCCATCATTTTGAATGCTGGGCCTCGATTTCAGCTACCACCACTCCTTTCCTTCCAGCTGGTTTTCACACACATGGATGGTTATTTTTCCACCGACCAAGAATTCTCGATTTATGTGTAATTATTCCTACTCTCGCTTTATTTAATTTTTTCCAAATTATCATCATTAATATCACTGTTTTTTTTTTACTATCTTGTCTCTCGCATTATCATTTTCCACATTTAATATCATTATTAAAAGAGGGAGAACTTAAAAAAACAATTTTTTATATAAGAAATATTCCATTCATCTCAATTTATAAGATATATTCTGAAAAAATATTATATTTATAATATTAACTTTTTTATAAACCTTCAAAATTTCATTTATTAACAGGAAAGAGTGTAATAAATTTATTTAACAAGTAAAATCATAGTAATATTAGAATAATCATTTTATTAATTTTTTAAAAATATTTTATAGTTTGAAATATCAAACCACTTAAAATTTGTCGTAGAAAATAAGATCGGCATAATAACAAATGATTCACTTATTAAAAATACAAGATGATTTATTTGATGACAATTGCTTAAGTCAACAGTCAAAGTCTTCGTTCCCAATAACAGTATCGTAGTCAAAGTCGTTCTATTAAATATGAAGGTCAAGTTTTCACATTTGCGTCTCATCATTTTGCAATCCTTTTTGACCCGTATGTTTTGGTTTCCATTTTCAATTGGTTACACGACCTTAAATAAAGTCCTTTTGCAAAATGACAATTGAAGACACCATAAGAATATTACTAACAATTATATATTTTGAATTATTGAGATTATAATAACAGGTATTATCCTTACTTATAATAATTTTTTTTATTAATTGACTTGAGATTTATAATTTATTAAATTTTTAATTAATGTTATAAAAATTCTTAACTATTTTTTATTGATTTTTCAAGTGACAGTAAAAAATATAAATTATTAGCTAATAATTTAACTGACTTTTAAAAATTACCAAATGATGTTACCAATAATTTCAAATAAATTTAATAAATTTTTAAGAGATTTATTTATATACTGACAATAAAAAATTATAAATGATTAATTTGTGATTTACAGTTAGGCATATTGCAAATAATTTTAAATATATTTACCATTATTTTAAAGGTGGTTTGTCTATTAATTGATTTCCGAAACATCGCCTAATGGAGCAGCGTAAACCACGTAGGCACGTACCAGGTGAGACCTGTGGCCCGAGGGTTAGTAAACTAAAAGCATCATCATAAATTAAATTAAGTAAATAAATAAAAGCATTGCCAGGTGCGTAGAGTCACTATAAGGGCAAGCCCGTCGAGCTAGTTCTTTTAAATATGAAAAAATTTAAGACCTGACTGCTATTTTAGAATATAAAATGATAATCTGGGTTTAAGTCTTAGGGTTAGGGCCGACCCTTTTAGATTCTTTTATAATTTTTTTAAATTTTAATATTAAAAAAATTAAATACTATATTAATTCTAAAACCCTAGCCTCATATCACATAAATGAAAAAGAATATATAAAAAATTTAATATCTTTACCACTATTGAGGCTCCACAAAGAGAAGGATAGAATTATATTGATATTGATATGATAATAAAAATTATCAAGATTTTGCTAATAATGTTAGCAAACTTTGATTATTATCAATGTTAATTTTGTAATATTATTGTTTTTGGTTAGACTTAAATTTATTATTGTGTGTATTAACCTAAATTTATTTTTATAGATTTAATGTTATGTGTAATAATTTTTTTTGAATTTTAAATATATTTTTTTAAATTTTTAATTAAAAAAAATAGGGCTGAGACCCTGAGGGTTGGCCCTTTAACCCTGAGGGCTAAGGCTAGGCTAGTTAAAATAAAACTTTGAAATATAATCAAGCTTTATAGAGTTAGCCTGTTTAGGCTCTGGCTTTTTAAGGACTAGCCCTAATTAACACATCTACATATACGTCAATCTAGATTGGATTTTGAATGACCTTGGCCAAATTTAAAAAAAAGAAGAAGCCAGAGACTAAGTTGTGAATGACACCTAAAGACAAGAGTCAATGAAGACTTATAATACTCACAATTTGATTTATATATTAAAGACCGTTGAGGCTGAGCAAGTTGAAGGTCATAAAATAATTAATTATATTTTTCAAGACCCATGCATTCAATAATATCTTGATCTAGTGGCAGAACCAGGACCCAGAGTCAAGGGGTGCGAAATAATTTAATAAAAATTAACATTTTTTCAAAAACAATAATTATGCTAGGACTAAGGTTATAATAACATAAAAAGTTTTACCATCATTTTTTATTTTAAAAAAATTATATTGAACATATTAATATAATATTTTATTACAAATATGCTCTTCATATTGAATCTAATTCATTAAAATATTATATATGTAATAAATTTTTGAGCCTAAATATTTTTTATTTAATTTAAAAGGTGTAAAATATTAAGAGTAAAAAATGTAAAGTTATAAATTTTATACACCCCTATTTAAATTTTTCTCAAAGTAAGGGGGTGCATTTCTATGTTGCTCTGGCACTGCTTGATCTGTTACTTTTGCAATATTAAATTAATTATATGACTCACTCTATAAATCACTCTGCACATCGGCTCACGGGTCACAGCTGCTGGTGAGTAAGCAAAACCAGAGACACAATAATACTATCTTGATCTCTTCATCATCCTCTATCACCATGTCTCGCCGTTTACTGGGAAATTTCTCACCTGAAAATCTTGTTCGAGCTCTTAACTTCATTCCACACTCTCAACAATCCTTGATCCTGTAAGTACTTTTAGCTTTCTGTTTCATTACTCTCTCCCCCACCCCCTTCTTGCTCCATCTCTCTCGTACAGAGACGTACGGTCCTTCATCGTTCGGTGTTTTCTCTTTGATCAGACTCTAATTAACAAGCCTTTCTCATTCTCTTGAATTAATGTTTGTTTTGCATCAGACGACGTCGTGTTGGGCCCAGAGAACCACCCATCACCAAAGGACCACCTCCTCAACATAACTTCTCTACCATGAGAGCTATGCCGCCGAAGAAGCTTATGCCCGCCGGCGACTCTGCAACAATGGAGGAATCAAAGGAAACTACCGCGAAAGGTCAAGTCAACGCTAGATGATTTTGCAAACTATTGACCTTGTATAATATATAATCGTCGAGAAATAATTATATTTTGGAGTTTTGATATCGGTAATATTTTAGTGTTAATTTGGAAATGGATCGTACTTTGTTTGAGACTGATAGGTCATATACATCAGATTGGGCTTTTATTTCAATTTAAGTGAATTCATACGAGTACGCTTCCATTAAATTTAGACCATCTAAATGTAATATTTTTTATTTTTTATTTATAATTTTTAAAATAAAAATATATGAAAATTGTAGAATATTTTAATAAATATACTTTTAATTCAACAATTTAGATTTAACATAAATGTTTCAAATTTAATATAAAAGATTTAAATTAATTTTTTAGATATATTTTGGACATTGCAAATATATTTTAAACATAACAGTAATTTAAACATAACAGTAAATTTATTAAAAAATTTAATATTAATTTTAGATCATTTATATTAAATTTGAACTGTCAGATTGATACATATATTTATTAAAATTTTCATAATTTTAATATATTTTTATTTTAAAAATATAAATTAAAATAAAAAAAAAAAAAATTATATAGAATCATCCAAATTAAAATTAAGCCTTTGCCTCAATGAAGAGGTAGAGGAGGCTTCTCTCAAAGGAGAGAAGCTGACTCTGAATTTATATGTTCTCGTTAAAATATTGAATATCTTATACACTGATTTAGATGTGTCTTCCCTCTCCCTACCATACCAGGCTACTTGTATGCCAATTAAATTTAAAATAAATATATAAATTGTGATAATCATAAGGTCAATTCAACGTTATAATTTATGGAAGCCAAGTTAAAATTTTTCAATTATTAAAGCAAACAATTATTCAATATATTCATAAATTTTTTCAAGTACTTATATATATTCTTACATATTTTCAGTAGTCCTTTTTTAACATGTTCAATATGCTAAGTTTATTTATTATTTTTTTTCAATACTATCTATCATGATTTCTCTATGAAAAAAGAATTAAAAATAAGTGTTTTTTTCAATACTGAAAATATTTAAGATGACTATTGAAAAGTTGAAAAACATAAAATACTGAAATTGTTAAAAATGAGTACTAAGTGGAAGATGGGTATTACAAATATGGAATATAAGTACTTAAAAAATTAACTCAAAAAAATTTTAATTCCAGTTAAGAATTATATATATATTTTTATTTTAAAATTTAAAATTTCAAGATCAACTCTAAATAACGTTTCAGAGGCAGGT